GTTAAAGAAGTATAAACAAATGAAATTATTGGACAACAATTATAAATCAAATATAGAATAAATCTGCTTTCCTTACGTGCAAAACGATCCTTTAAAAAGGTGAGTGCTTTTAAAAAATGTGTGCGGGGCTTGTCGTCATCCTCTAAAGCTCAAACTCAAACTCAAATTAACCACGCAAAGCTCAGCCCTTCTTTTAAAATTTTTGATTCAGTTTTAAAAAATTGCAACTCGAACCGCGGGATTTTTGACAGAGTGCACGTCACTTTTAGCAATAAGGGCAATAGCCATAGCTTGCGATGGCTTCTACGCATAAGGTGCGTATTGTTTACGCGAATTTTCTACACAGCCGGCGCAGTGTCTTTTATCTCGCGACTATCCTACGGATACGTCGTTACATTTTGCACATTAGCGGACCATCCTTGGCGTATTAAGAATGATAGAAAATGTGAGTATATCGCCAAATGCTGTACAACTCGGGCGCCTTGCCAAGATGCTGGAAATTGTTTGGAACAACTAAGCGTTACGTGAAATGACAGAATGTCGAGTCCTATAACATACTTGTCATACAAGGTCTAAACGCAAATTAGTTTTAAGAGCGGAAATCTTCAAAGGTTATGTTGGTTTGAATCAACAACGTTTGACTCCAAAAGCATATATCTAACAATAAGATGCAAAAATTAATGATTGCACGTGTAATCCTAAGATATTTTCAGCGAAACAAAATGATTTGAAGTTCGTTAACTCTGTTTTTTCTTCAAAAAATTCGAGGAGGAAATCAACAGCCGAAAAGGAAAAATTCCACTGAGCTTCAAACTAATTGAGCAAAAGAGTTTTTCGAATGCCGTATCACCTTCTCAAGCTTCGCGAAAAAATAGATATGTCTTGATAACCATTACATAACCTTTCACAAATATCCATCCACGCCATCTCCGGGCCAGGTGCCCGCCTGCGAGACAGTTTTCTGCGTGGTTGAACGTTAGAGTAAATCTATGCAAAATTTCTCCCTAGAAGTCTCTAATGCATCAATGACAGTTCTTTTGGAGCAAAATGTTATGTACTATTGCGAGTAAATTTCTTGCTTCTGCACACAGCTACACGCACGTTACCTCATCTACTGCGTGAATTTTTGAAGTACACAAAATAGTCTCAAAATATTTCGGTGATATCCATTCGCAAATGC